TGCAACAGCGGTTAGTAGTATAGGAGAAAGGACATTATCGATTGAAATGACAATTTCTAGTTTTTTAGTCATTAATCAGGCATGCCCAGCCCAAGGGTTTCGTCACCCCCGAGGCTCAACCCTGTGACCTATTGGTTAGAAAGCCAACCCTCTAACCATTGAGCCACGGGTTCATTACCCTGTCGGTTGGGATCGGCAATGTCATTCTGCCTATACTACCAGACACTGTGCAGCTGCCTTCGAGACTCTAGATCGAGCCCTAAGACACAACGGGACGAGTGATTTCCGTGGTGCGATCGGTGAGCGCCCCTCTTCTACCCCTAGTATACTCTTTCGCAACCAACAGGACAACGAACTCATGGCTCCATGGTTAGAGTGTTACTACACACTCGTCCATTTGTGTCCTGGGGGTTTAATTTTGAGCACCGCAAGCGACCTCACAGCGACTAGTAATAATAATTGTATTTAATGCCAGGTTACAGTTACGGATCGGGCCAACGGTGAAAAAAAAATTCTGAGGAGTAAAAACGGAGGATGGTATTTTTGTATAGTTTCGATGGTCCAGGAGAGGGAAAACCGCCGCCCGTGAAATTGCGGTAGTTCAGGAAGGGGTGGGTTACACTGCGTCGGATATTTTCAGTTTCCATTCCTTTTCATGAAATCGGGACTGGACCAAACTGAAGCATTGAAGAACCGATGCTCGTTGTCAGCTGAAGAAATTTTCCCTAGTGTTGCGTGCTGCAGAGTCAACACCATTTCTCACGGGATGAGACCGGCCAGGGGGATCAGAGACCACGAATTCCATCCCTATAGTAGATTAAATCGGTAGTTTCAGCACCCAAAATACCGGGGAGTTTTTCTGAATGCAAAAAACGAGTAACATACGAATTTTTAATATATCTGATCATAACCAACAGGACAATAAGCCTGTGGCTCAATGGTTAAGAGGCTTGATTTCTAACCAACGGGTCGTGGGTTCGAGCCGCAGAAGTTGCAAACCCAAGGCTGACTGTGGCTAGTCGATGGCAGCTAATAAGCCAGAAATGGTCATTCCAGTCTCCATTGTCTTTATCGGTAATGTCATAGACATAGCTATCTACGTTGGCATTAGGAAAACAAACAGCAATTCGTGCCAGGACATGAACCCTGTTTCTCAAAAGAGATAAAATTACACATCATCGCTCTATCATCATCGTCGTCGTCAATAACACGAAGAAAATGTGTTAGATCATAGGGAAAATAAGCAGCAACATCACCATTACCACAACTACCATCTTATCAGTCCTCTCCTTCTGGGGGTGGTTACTTTCGTCCACACACTGGGCCGTTTCTGGAACCTTAACAGCATATCTGCTGAGCCCATAAGACATAATCTAGACGCGGGTTAAACAAACGGATCCTGCGAAAAATCTCGCTCCCACTCCGACGGCCGCACCGGACTGCTTTTTCTCAAACGGTCTCAGCCGCTGAGTCATACCAGTACCCCATTGGTTAACGAATTGTCTGGGCATTAATGTTGCAGACATTCCGACGCCCACAAATGACCTTGCCTCGGAGGCGAAATTAAGCGGTTGACCGAAAAAATGGACACCCCAGATGTCTGTCTGGATGACCCAGCTTGAAAGTGCATCTGTGGATCATATTAGGGGGGGGGGGGGCGAAGAGTGACGCCGTGATCGAGATGACTAAGTGGACTTCGGCACAGCCTGTCCGAGCCAAGAAATCGATACAAGGGTCGCTCAACTTGACAGATGCTCTCTAGAGGTAATTATCCTATCAGGCAGAGAAAAATGTGTGCCAGGGCGTCGGGATATGGAAGGCAGGTAGATCGGAGCATTGAATAAGTAGATGTTTGAGTGAATTCAGGACCACCGTTTGAAGCCAAGGGGAGATCCGTAAGGCTAGCATGCCCTTCCTCTTCCGTTCTGGAACGCAAAAGAGATTTTCAGGCAGTTTCGGACCAGCAAGCTAACGACCGTTCAACAAAAACAACTATACGAGATCATGAATCATTACTAAGATAAGCACATCGTAGTCGGTTGGAATCCTCTTCCGTTTGATGCTGTAAAAGGCGATTTCAGGCATCAGTCCATACAGTGCGTGACCGATCTCATGAAATGTTGACCGGAATTCTGGAAAACGTTTTCGTTTAGGAAGAATTACTTAGGTGAGTTTGTAATACTGATGACCTTGCAGCATAATCCTATAGTATTTGAGACTCGCGAGGGTGTCGACGCCTGAATGCATTTCCTTTTGACCCCTTGCAGAAACCATACTTGGTAAAAAATGACTACCTAGGTAGCGGGCATTTTCAAATTTATTTTCGATGATCTTATAAATTCAAATGTATTTTATAAAAAAACATGCACACAATATGCTTTCTTTTACTCATTTGGTAAAAAATCGCATTGTGTTCATATTTAATACCCGAAGAAATTGTATATTTGGATTTTAAAAAGTTTCCCAATTCCCGGAAAATTCTGAGTCCGATCTGACATCGCATTAGGGTTTAGCGGTTTAAGTCTACAAGATGCATGCTTTCCGCGTACGGAAGATCACATATTCCTTTATGCCTTTAAGAAAATACCATATAGAATTCATTAAAATCTGCAATGGATTTGGGCTATGTTGTACACCGCATGGTAAGCATTACTAAACGAACATGTGCGATGCTGTACATATGGACATCACACTGTCTTTAAAATCTCATAGTTAAAAACTTTTTTGAAACCCAAATATGCATTTTCTTCGGGTATAAAATATGACGGCAATGTGATTTTCTACCAAATGAGTGAAAGAAAGCATATTTTTGTGCATGTTTTCTGTAAACTACATTCGAATTTATAAGACCACTGAAAATCAGTGCGAAAATGCATGCTACTTAAGTAGCCATTTTTTAGAGAGTACGGTTCCTGCAGGAGGTCAAAAAGGAATTCATTCAAGAGCCGACATCCCGAGGAGTCCGATATACTATTGGATTATGCTGCAAGGTAATCAGTACTACAACCTCACCTAAGTACTCTTTCCTAATCGAAAACGCATTTCAGAATTTCAGCCAACGTTTCATGAGATGGGTCACGAACTGTACTTTGTGAAGGGTTTTCAGCAAATGAGGTTTAAATACAGGATTATCACTTACAGTGCGTTGGTTTGATGCAGTCTATGAACGGGCCACCATGCATTGTGGGATGTAACAGTGTATTTAGCGTTTTCCTGGACTGATTATCCACTGTATCGGCTCAGAAGTATGTGTAGCCAGATGTGGCTTTTAGAGATCGATGCGTGAACGATTCTCTGACGGGCTGAATATTTAGACAGTTCAGGATAATGCTGGTTCCACTACGGCTTAAGCTGCCGGATCTAACTCGACAATGAGCAGTTTGATTAGCAATTTTGGGTATGTTAATGAGCAGGTTACTGGGATTACGTCTACTTCCAAACCTTCGGCCGTGCATGTTTTATCGTTGGGGATTTTGGAAGCCCTCGATCGTCAACTGTCCCCTATGGTGACCTAAATATCCTGAACGCAGTACACCAAAGCATGTTTGAGATTGCCTTCGAGAGAGGATTCCCTGAACACCGACGCTATAAGGGCATTCCCAGTCCGAGGTCGTTCCTACGAATGCCAACAACTAGGTAATACAACTGCAAATCTAATGTCATATTAGCAGATAGCAGAGGTGAGTTAGAATTCTTCTTCTGCATAAAGGCAGGTTTGCCCGAGATAACTAAATGAAGTAATTCATCCACTTGGCTTTCTGAGTGACTTCCTCAGAAGCAGATTGTTCGGATGCACAACCGGTTACGAAAGGAGTCGCATTTTACTTATTTGGCAGGTTTCACTGGCCAAAGATGTATGCTAATGTGACTTTAGGGCTGTTACCATCTGCGGAATAATATCCTTACATCCTCCTCTGAATCAGCTTGGACCGACTGGTCACTGTTTCGGCTTGCAAGGATTCTTAGGCAGATATGAACCGGGAGGTCGAAACAGGAAGGACTGTTACGGACTGAGTATTTTGGCTGTCAAAGGTGATGGAGGTTTCATCGTTGTTTGGGGAGCTGGGCAGAACTCAAGAAAGAGCAATCTACTTTCTCCTGATGAGGTTTTAATAACGGGGATACCGAGATTGTACCCACTTCCAATGCTCTAAATGTTGATGCCGTACCGACCAAAGCTATAGAAGCCCGCATAACGTAAGATTCCGTTGTGGAGAGCTGAATCACCCAATTTTAATTTAGCGGTGCATATTAGGAGAAGGATTCCCAGAATTTCGAGACTACAATCGCCTTCCTATTTCAAGTAGAAAACAAGGCTCGTATCTCATCAGCAGTACGCAGAGACCAGTCAGAATTGTAATGCTGCGTAAGGGTAGACCTGCCTGTTAATGATAAGTAGGTTAATTTATTCACATGGCTTTTGGATTGACTTAATTTTAGGTATATTGGGGAAATTAGGGTTAAAACGTTTGACACGAGCTTGGTTATCACAAAATTCAGCACGGCCCATACACCTGTCCTCGCTGTTCCTGTCTTTTGCCCGGCATTTCAATACTTGGTGGATGACAGGGCGGGCCCTCGTACGGAAGCAGCACCCACATGGATATGTTTATGCGCCATTGCATTACATTCCAGTGCCCCCTACAATGGGCCAAACGAGGATTGCGCAGGGCCAAAAGTGGGGGGGGGAGGGGAGACCCGGGTACGGCCCGCGTTAGTCGGGCTGTGCACTCACAAAAATGATCATACATGGGCGAGGGTGTGGTTGCACGTTTAGGCGCATACTCATGCCGCGCCCACCACTTACGCCCAACGCCAGCAGCAGATGACTGGCCGGCTCGAACAGCGAGCTGGTGCGTGGGAGGAGGAAGAGTGAGGTCGACTCTGTGGACTTAGTCTTCACGGCAGCACTCAGCGCATACTCCTCACCATAAACAATTTGATGCACTATCACGGTCCACTAACATTCGTGACTTTGAAAGCTGCTAACTGACGGAGAGTCAGGCTGCGATGGTCCCTTTTTCTTTTTCTTCTTCTTCTTCTTTTTCTTCTTCTTCTTCTTCTTCTCCTTCTTCTTCTTCTTCTTCTTCTTCTTCTTCTTCTTCTTCTTTTTCTTCTTCTTCTTCTTCTTCTTCTTCTTTTTTTTTCTTCTTCTTCTTCTTCTTCTTCTTCTTTTTCTTCTTCTTCTTCTTCTTCTTCTTCTTCTTCTTCTTCCTCTCCTTCTTCTTCTTCTTCTTCTTCTTCTTCTTCTTCTTCTTCTTCTTCTTCCTCTTCTTTTTCTTCTTCTCCTTCGTCTTCGTCTTCTTCTTCCTCCGCCTCTTCTTCTTCTTCCTCTCCTTCTTCTTCTTCTTCTTTTTCTTCTTCTTCCCTCACCCATCTGTGGGTGGGGAAAAGGCGAGTGTAATAGATGCTGTGCAAGTCTAATGTCACTATAAACAAAGTTACGTGCAAGTCACCGTTCCTGCGCCCACCCTGCTGCTGTGCACACAGTGGTCACAATTGTTTGCGGTATTCGAGCTGTCTTGTGTATGTTATGCACGTTCCAAAGTCCGGCCTGATTACAGAACCGTCTGCAGCTGCTTTATTTTGTCTGCAAGTCTAGTTTTACGGTTAATCGCGAAAAAGTTTAATTTGATATGGGACAAAAGGACAGGACCCTTATATGCAGGATGACTATCAGTAGGGAATATTACGCCTCCAGTGTTTCCGAGGCCAGCTGTGCCAATTGCTAACCCTTACAGATGACTACCATCATTCTTGAAAAGTGTTCGGGTGAGGTCTACTTCGTGTCGGTTGAGGGATCAGGACATTTGTGACACGCGATATCAACGTTCCTAAGATATTCAGAGCTGGCTGTTGTTGAGCTATGTCTTAGATCCCTCCCCAGTCTCGTTGTATGAAGTTTTGGTCCTTTGTGCGTTGACCAGGGACGTGGTAGCACGCCTAGGTGCAGGTTGGGGATGTAGGGATATCCAGTTTTGGGGCATCCGTACATGGGTGATGCATCACACCTTGCAAATTGTGACTGCTGCTTACGGTCCTTAACAAGCCCTCAGCTCTCGTCTGTGGCTCCCCTAAGTTAGGCTCTGCCTAGCGGTAACAGCATCGACGGGCGGATTATACCAGATGAGGATATCCGGTGTTGTGTGGTTCCCACACCCGGCAATTCTGTTCTCATCCCCATCTCTCCTCTTCCCCCTTCCATTTCCTCCTTCCTTCCATCTCCTCTTCACAGTGTTATACGGAGAGGTCGACATGCAATCCCGTAGACGGCCCAGGCTTACTCGGGTAGCCTTCTATTAAACAAAGCCGTGACCCATGATGGATTTCGGCAGCCGCATGAGATGTCTAAACAGCCCTATTGAGGGATAGTACTGCCTATCCTCTCATGAGAAGGGGTTAAAAAAGTTCTCTTAGCAAATGCTGGGAAACCACGTCCGCTGAAGTTATACCCCGTCCCGTTTATGCAAAATCCGTGATCGGAGCGCAACAGAGAACAACAGGAACCCATTCCCCCTCCCATCAGCCCCATTCCACAGACTGCTAGGGAAAGTCCGCTTACTCTGGCGGTCTGGAATGTTCGTTCTCTCTTAGACAATCCAAGGAGCAACTAATCGGAATGGAGGATGGCGCTGGTCGCTCGAGGTGGGCATTGCTGCTCTCAGCGAGACCGGCTTCTCCGAACAAGGCCTACTGGAGGAGATGAGTGCCGGCTACACCTTCTCATGCAGCGACCACTCAAAGGCAAAGTGATGGGACGCCGGCGTCGCCTTTGCCATCCGGAATGACATCGCGGAGGACTTCCCTGTCTGTCTCAGAGTATCGAAAACCGCCTATACTGGCGTGTCGAGACGCACTGTGTCAGACAGGAAGACAAGGTTGCTGACTTACACTACTTTCCACGGATTCTTAGAGCAAATGGTTACCAGCATAACTTCGTTAGTCAGTGCATGCGTTTACACGAAGGGAGACAAAATAAAAACAGGCACCAGATTTTAGCGTGTGCTCCCGTACGTGAAGAACGTCTCGGTAGTCGTCGGCAGCATTCACACACCACTCGGAGTTGTGAGTGCACACAAATCGTACGAGGGCAGAAGGCGCCAGATCATGAGGCCGGAAGACTAACTATCACGACAGGGAACGTCTGTAGCCGTTTACCGGATCTGATAACAGTAAATGAATTTGATGCCTCTTTGTAGGCATTGTCAAAAAGGCACTGCATTGTTGTACTTTTATCCCGATGACTACCTTAAAGTATCTTGACCACCCTCACGCAACAGCCACCGCGAGGTCTTTTTATTTCTCCCTCTGACGCGTACAAATAAACATCGGGAGTTATTTTCTTTTACCGCCCGGAGTAAGTTACCCCAGCCATAAACCATACTCTTGCCTGAAAGAGGACTCCGAACACGAATGGCTGAACATGCAGCAGCAATGAGGAGATCTCAAATCAAACGTAAGTCACCATGTCTGCCAAGTCGGACACGGGAATATGGACCTATTATCACTACAGATGTCATCGTGTGAAATTCCAGAAGGGTCCCTATTCCTCTGTCCTAACTTTAACCGTAACTCAAACGCTAGCTCTCCTAATTCTGCCTATCCTAGTCCTAGTCCTATTCACAGCCTAATCTGAACCTTCCTAATCCTAACACTAACTTTAGCCCAAACTGTAACCTTCCCTGGAATGAAAGGCACGACCACCTGTATGTAACACGGGAGTTCAGATTTCCGTGCCCAGCCGACTATCCTGCAATCGCGATTGATCGATGAAGGCAGCTGTTGGGAATGCCCTGTCTGTGAGCAGCCTCTCGGCACTTCTAGAACCTTCTCTTGGAGCTCATTAGACAGAATACTAGCCAACCTGAACGGGATGCTAAAAATACACGCAGCCTTTCAGTGACAATGACTTGCAGGTTTTTGATACGCTTTATCGTGGCCGACCGCGTTATACTTCTCTGCCGTGTTAGTAATGGGGACAAAAGTCAAGTGCGTATATGCTTCGTGGGGTTTCTGAGTACCAGGCGTGGTCATAAGAACTTACAACTCCTCTCTCTCTCGGGTCATAACTGCAGTTCCCACGTGGTGTTCGTAATTGCCTGGAATCCAAAGTTCATCACCCTAAACTACGCTCCACCTCAGGAGACCTTGTAGACGTTTTCTTGATAGGCCGAAGGAACTTGACTTAGACGATGACTGACAGGCTTTTAAAGTCATTTCCGCAAACTGCGTCACAATTCATTCCGATAAATGTAAGCTAGTCGGACTGCAAAACAGGTAGGGCCAGCTGTTGTCGTTGTGCCCTACTCGGAACCAATAATCACGAGAGGTTTCTTTCATTTGTTCTGATCTTTCTAAGTCATTGTGTCGCTGCATTGTAACAGCCCAAATAGAGCATAGGGTTCTGACCTTGATTTAATAATCAAGTGAATACTCATCTTGTAGAGAATCCCGGACCAAGCTCATCACATGGGCACGATCAAAGCCGGTGATCTGCATACCCGATAAGTTCCACTCTCGTTTGTTATACGTTTGTTCTTTTGTTGATCGTTGATAAATTTTGTTTTCCACCTTCTATCTTTTAACGGGTTAACCCTTTACTCTGATGTATGTACATATTTTTCCAACGATGCCTATTTTGTTAGTTCCAGAGTTCAATTCATTATTCGTTTTATACTGACGTTTACACACGTCTACATACGCTGTTATAATAAACTTTATCTTCAGCACCTGCCTATACTCTTCGCCCTAACGTCCAACTCTGGTGTGTTTGAGACTGTCTGTGGAGAATGTTAGATCTTCCATGTTCAGATCCTCAAGTTAACCCCCAGGTTGTAAAGAAGAGGAGACTGTCCTCATCTAATAGCGTTTCGCCTCCTACTGACCCATCCAGAACGGACGTACAGCATGACTCACCGGCCCTCAACTCGCGGCTTACAGCTGTGGCGTCCGGCCAATCGGATGTCGCATTCGGTCGATGACAGTGCCCATATTTCTCCTCAAGGATGTGAAGAACGCTGGGTCTGTTCTACCGGGTTTACTTTAGGTCACCAACGCATGAGTTCCACTGCGTCACAAGCTGTATTCCAACACACAGAAGTTACCTAAGACTAAAACAGTGTTCCCCCAAGATCAAGATTTGGCGCAACGGTATTTTGTATAATCTGAGTACAGAAAACGTTTCTTTGTAACCCACTGCAGGAAATAGTACGAAATTTACAAATGCATTTAAAGTCAATGGAATGACCAAGGACGCCTCATAGAAGGCCATATTGCCGTAGGTCGTTGCTAATCCCCAGTTAGTGGCCGATCACAGGAAATGTTAGCCAAAATTCTGAAATGCTTTTTCGATTAGGAAGGGTTATTTTGGTGGAGTTTTAATAGTGCTTATAATGCGGCATAATCCCATGATATTTCGGACTCGCCAGGATGTTGACTTTTGAATACATTTCTTTTCAACCTGTAAAAACCACACTCTGCAAAAAAGACTACTTAGGTGGTATGCATTTTTCACACGGATTTTCGATTACTAAAAATTAAAGTATATTTTGTAGAAAACATTCATAAAATATTCTTTCTTGTACTCATTCGGGATCATATAGCGTCTTCCTCATATTTTATGCTAGAATAAGGGGTATATTTAGGTTTTGAAAGCTATTTCAATTCTTGAATAATTTTGAGCCAAGTGGGTCATTGCATTAGCATTCAGCGATTCCAGTCTACTAGGTGTATACTTTCTGTGTAGAGAAAATCATATATTCTTCTCTGTTTTTGAGAAGATGTCATGTAGAGCACACAAGGTTTTGCGACGAACGCAGACTATATTATATGCTTTATGAGGGCCCTAATAAACGGACAGGTACAATGCTGTATGAATGGACATTGTACGGTCTTTAGCAATCTCAAAATTATGAACTTTTTTTAGAACCGAAAGATACTCCGTTTTCAAGTATAAACTATGAAGAAAACGTTATTTGCTGGAACTTAATGAGATCAGTCACTGACTGCAAATACGTAGACGAAATTAAGTATTCGTTGATCGAAAGGGTAGGTTCTTGATTCGTTTAGGCGCTAACTTTGTGACTCACTGCCCTGGGCATCAACTAAGTACGACAAAGTAGGGTCTATTTTCGCTTCAGATGTAGGCAATACTGCCGGAAATCAGAGGATGTCACTGACAAGGAATGGTCTGCATGCCGGTTTGAGTATCTGGACAGTCTGTCCGATCAAGAGAAGCATTGTCGCCATGGAGCTTGCGCTTTGATGTAGATCAGGTATGCGTAGGCAGCAACACCTTCGACGAGTCTTCAAAGCCAACGGCTACCCGCGCAACTTCGTCAACCAGTGCATACGCTAAAGGGACGAAAGATCAAACCGCACGGACCCCAAATCTTGGCGAGCGCTTCCCTATGTCAAGGACGTTCCGGAAATTGTCGGTCACACTCTCGCACCACTTGGGGTTGGAGTTGCACACACACACACACACACACACACACACACACACCGGAACCAACCATCAGGCGTCAAGTAATTAAACCGAAAGACCCACTGCTACCACAAGAAACGTCTAAAGTCGTTTATCGGATCTGATGCAGTTGCAAACAAAGCAACTGCGTCGGAGAAACCGGAAGACAGCTCCGAACACGAATGGCTGAATACGCTGCAGCCGTGCGGGGAAATGACGCCAGCTCTCAAGTTGCGCCTCATTCGACGAGATCCGACCACACATTCATATTCGACGAGGCCGAAATTCTCGATAGAGGTGACAAACGCGTGAGCCGCGAGCTGCTTCAGTCGTGGTTTACTGCCCCCCCCCCCTCCAGTCTATTGACAAATGCAACGACCTTCCCCTTCCATACTCGATACTAAGACTTCGCCTAGACGGAGTAATTAGCCACGTGGGGAGCGCACAGGTGAACACTGCCCCCTCTATCGGCGTGTCGAAACGCACTGCAGTGAGCCGGAAGACAAAATTGCTGAACTATAATACCTCCGACGGGTCCTCAAAGCCAATGGCTACCCGCGCAACTTCGTCGACCGGTGCATACGCAAAAGGAACGAAAGGCCTAACCGCACGGACACCAAATCTTAGCGGGCACTTCCGTATGTCAAGAACGTTTCGGAAGCTGTCGGCCGCCTTCTCGCACCACTTGGGGTTGGAGTGGCACACAGACCGGAGGCAACCATCAGGCGTCTGGTCATGAAACCGAAAGACCCACTGCCACGGCTAGAAACGTCTGGAGTCGTTTATCGGATCTGGTGCAGTTGCGGACAAAGCAACTACGTCGGAGAAACCGGAAGACAACTCCGAACGAGAATGGCCGAACACGCGGCAGCGGTGCGCAGAAATGACGCCAGCTCTCAAGTTGCGGCTCATTCGACGAGATCCGGCCACATGTTCAAATTCGATGAGGCCGAAATTCTCGCAAGAGGTGACAACTGAGTGAGCCGGAAGCTACTGGAATCATGGTTTTCTGGCCCCCAGTCCATCAATAAGTGCAACGGGCTTCCCATTCCATACTCCGTACTGAAACCTCGCCTAGGCGGAGTAACAAGCCATGCGGGGAGGGCAGAGGTGAACACTTTTCCCAACTCTGGGGTCGGTGCGTCAGATGGTCGAGCAATTATCACGCCAACATCCAACGCACGTGAGGAAATTGCAGCAATTATCGACTCGGATGTCGGCCATCAAGCAATGCTCACACCAAGTGCGACGATCCCGGATGAAGGGGGGAGCCGTGGATGTTCATAGGTATGCGGTAGCATGGCTACTGCATCCTATAAATACCGCAGCCCCTTGTGCAACAACCACCCGTTTCTGCTTTTTTGTCTCTGATGATGGATTCGAGTAGGAATCCGAAACGTCAGGCTAATAAAGCTCTTGTCCCGGCGATCGTGTCTCCTTCGTCAAGACTACTTCCTGGGACTCGTCTCTTCGCTTCTATTGGCACTGTCCCCTACGTCAGGGTTGGTGGGTCAGATGGTCAAGCCCTCATCACACTAACATCCAACACACGTGATGAAATCGCTGCAGTTAACGACGCGAATGTCGGCCATCGAACAATCATCACACCAAGTACAACAATCCCTGATGAATAAGGGGGGAGGGGCGTGAATATTCATATGTATGCGGTTACATGGCGACTGCATCCTAAAAATACTGCAGCTCCTTGTGCATGAACCACCCGTATCTGCTATTTTTTCTGATGATGGGTTCGAGGAGGGATTGGAAACGTCAGGTGATCGTGCCTCCTCCTTTTTCACGACAATCCTCTTGTGTGGTTTAACGGTGAAATTCGAATGAGGGATGGCTGAAGTACTCCTTGTGTTACACCATATCGTTTGTCGTGGACCTTTCGTTCCCGCTAGTCGCTGCGGTTAGTCTTTGGTGATTACAGATGACCGTACCCAAATTTCCAAGGGGTTTAGGGTTAGGGAAGTTGAGAGATTTTGTGTTAAAGTCCACTTTAGGACACAGAAGCAGGTGTACCACCCGGAATTTCGTTCAAGATCGCCTGCGATGCCCCACAGGGGGGGGGTACTTTCCCCCATGTCCAATCTAATATTCTCCGCAGACTTTCCAAACTGGGCTCCCACTTTTCCTCTTCCATTCCTCCACGGATGCTTTCTTTCTTTCGTGTGGCTATGTTCCTACCACACAGTGAATTAAATTCATTATTTATTCGTGATAACTAGCGACGCCCTTAAGTTGGCAATAATCTTCGTGCTCTCGAGGAGGAATACAGGTCTGCGTTAATTGAGAACTCATAAATCAGGAAGGATGGATTCTATTGGCTCGGGAGTGCTGGATGCTAAAAATAATCAAGCGGAAATGTAGGTACTTGATTAACTGATAACTTTTGACAATCATGATAAAACGCCGCACTTCCGATGTTAGAAGACGAGTCGACAAAGAGAAGGGAGACTGGGATGATCGCTTCTATCCATTTCCGGTCGCTATGCGACTGCCAGCTAAGATTAGACGCGCCCAAAAGCGTTCTTGCAAATGTGACGCCCATCACATATCCGCTCTTTTTACCGATTTTTATTTCAGCCCCCAGATGAGAGATTTACGAGAGTCCGTCTCATTCATTTCAGTGGCCTAGAGTAGCGCACCGGACTATAGGTTCTCCGTGTCACAGGTGGACATGCACTAACTTCCAGAAGGAAGGTTAGGATTAGTGTTAGGTCTGGAGTTAGGGTTAAAGTTAAGACACGTAAATAGGTGTGCCTCTTGGAAGTTAACGCAAGGTCACCCGTAGTACTGGGGATGGCCTCATTCCCGCGTCCAACGCAGCCTGGGGACAAGACTGTTGTGGCATAAGTAAACAAATTTGGCAAAGACACTGCTCCACAGCCACATTTTCGTGGATGATTGCGGTTTCCCAGCTCAGGACCCACAAGTTTCGTTTGCAACATTGGACTTACCTCATTTGGATGTTTCATTATGAGCTCAAAATACTCCCAAAGTAGGGGTGATCGTCCTTGCTGAAGGCAGTTCGCCACTTTGCTGCGTTGTATTTTTTGCCGCTTATGCTGAAAGAAACCACTGCATGAACACTTCTGATTCAATTCAACCGATGAGGCCATTGAAGTCAATACTGTTGTGCACGTGATCAGTCCTATACAGTCAGCCGTTCTGTTAGTTGCTAGTACACATACTTGAGCCTAAGTAAACTTGTTTTGCGTGAAGGCACGTCTCCACGCAGGTCACACAGTAGATGTGTCGAATCGACACGGGGGCTAGATCGGAGTCCGACAGCCGTTATCGGAAATGCGCACCCATATGCCAACATGTGGGGTGAGGCGGCACACCCTGTTACCGGTTCGCCCCGCCACCTGCCCGCCCCATTTTGTGTCGTGGTATAAAATCCTAGTTAGTATCCGTTGTGGAGCAGGGGGTGTGGTGGTACGCCAAGGCGTGGGGTTTCACTGTGCCAGTCACCTGCGGCCTCTATCGCCTACGGTCTTCTTGACTTTTTCATAACGTCGGTTCTAGGTGGGGGAAGAGAGAGTGCGGTGGATGCTTCGCAAGTCCACTGTCACTACAAACTAACTCACGCACAAGTCACCGTCCCTGCCCTCAACCAGCTGTGGAGCACACAGTGAACATCGTCGACAACGACGGTCGAACTGTCAGTGGCAGTAATGGTAGTAGTAGTAGTAGTAGTAGTAGTAGTAGTAGTAGTAGTATTAGTAGTAGTAGTAGTAGTAGTAGTAGTAGTAGTAGTAGTAGTAGTAGTAGTAGTAGTAGTAGTAGTAGTAGTAGTAGTAGTAGTAGTATTAACGATGGTAGTTGTGGTAGTAGGCTGAATTATTGGTGGCAGCAGTGACAGACGTGCCTTTCGCGCCTCCCCCCTGACTGCAGATCTTTATCCACAAAAAGGTCTGTTTTGGTCTACTTCGAAGGTATGTGGTGGTTTGCCAATCCCAGTAACATCAGAAACATGCTAGCAAAATAATTTTCGATGGTGCTGTTGTTGGTACTTTGGCTTACCTTCGCTGACCGAAACCTGACGTCAAGCGTCTAAGCTTGTCAAGCACAGAACCGACTTTGAGACAGAGGACGTAGTCTCGGGAAGCCACACACGTGCAGATATGCAAATGTTGGAAACCCAAGCTGACAACTGTTCATGCACACCCTGACTGCATGGGTGTCTGAAAGTTTCTCGTTCTTTTTGCGGTTCCGTCTCGAGAACTTTCCTGCATCACTAGAGTTTGTTGGGCTGCTCAAATTAGCCTACACACCTTCCCAAAATCTTGTTTTTAATGCTCATATCGCGACGCTTTTCTTCGTGAGTCCAAGCGAGCCGTTAAGGTTCCGGTAATCAATTCCCGAGGGGCGTACTAGCGTGAAAACGTGACAGGTATCTTCCGACTCTCGACCGAAACACGGACTCTTGATCCTCCAACCCGGATCGATCGCCCATCCATGTTTGTGCACTAGATCATCGCGCAAGCGAGCCCGCACATACAGTGAGTGACCGGTCTCATGAAATGCTAGCCGAAATTCTGAAATGCGTTTCCGATTAGGAAGGATTACTTAGGTGGGATTCTAATACTGATTTTTTTGCGGCATAACCCTATGATATTTCGGACTCGGTAGGATGTCTGCTTTTGAATGCACTGCTTTTCAGTCTCCTGTAGAAACCGTGCTCGATAACAAAAAAATGATTGCTTAAGTAACATGCATCATTCACATAGATTTTGGATGGTCTTATAAATTCAAATATATTTTATGGAAAACATAAACAAAAATATGTTTTCTTCACTCGTTTGATAAAGAATCACGTCATCTTTATATTTTATACTCGTAGAAGGAATAGGATTAGGTTTTAAATTTTTTTAATTATGAGGCTTTTTAAGACCGTGCAATGTCCATTCATACAGCATCGTACTTGTCCGTTTACCACTGCTCCTCATGAAATGTACAGCGTAGTCCGCATCCATTGTAAAATTTTATGGACTCTATATGGTATCTTTTTAAAGGCATAGAAGAGTGTATGATTTTCCTTACACGGAAAGCATGCATCTTGTGGACTGACATTACTATGCGTTAATGCAACGGCTAATCAGGCTCTAAATTATTCAGGAAATAGAAAACTTTTTTAAAACCTAATCATACTCCTTCGACGAGTATAAAATATAAATATGACACGATTCTTTATCATACGAGTGAAAAAAAGCATATTTTTGTTCATGCTTTGTGTAACATATATATGAATTTATAAGACCATCGAAACCCAATGGGAAAATGCATGCTACTTAAGTAGTCATTTTTTATCGAGTGCGGTTTCTACAGGAGACTAAAAAGAAGTGCATTCAAAAGTTGACATCCAACCGAGTCCGAAATATTATAGGATTATGCCGCAAGAGAATCAATATGAGAGCCCCACCTAAGTAATCCTTCCTAATCGGAAACGCACTTCAGAATTTCGGCTAACATTTCATGAGATCGGCCATTCACTGTACATGCGTGCAATAGTTGACAGACCCGTGAATCACGTTCAGCGGTAAGGCCCTTCCATTGAGTACAGTCACACAAACAGGCGTCCGTTATCTGTGTAGGATTTGTGCACGGACCCGTCGCATGCGAAATGACTGTTGGAGCAGTCGCCGAGAAAAATAAAACATGCATGACAGACACAGTACGTCACTTTGCTGAGACGCAGGCAAATTATTCAATGGGCGCCTATGTGTGTGCACTGGCTGACAGACTGAGAGAAAGCCCTCAGTCTGTGAGTTGCATTGGAGCAAACCATGCACAGTCGCAAAAAGCGAGCTTCAAAACCTGCGAAATCTGACGTTTTCCAGGCATGTAGTGAGTCCGACCCTATACAAGGGTCTGCACGATACAAAAAATAATCGTTCAGGGTCACTTTTACTAGGGTTTGACATCTACTGCGGAAGTTCTGACAACTTTCAACATCAGTCAACTGCCGACCTTTGACCGCAATACGCGACTGTGCTCTCTTAACGCTCTTGGCCGATTCTACGAAGTTTAGGTGGTGTGATCAGCTACCAGGTGTCGGACGCCAAGTGTTTCAAGGTCGCCGAGGCAGAAGTGCGCTCTACTAAACTCCATCGACAGACCAATCGCGTCCATTTATTAAGAACTTGCAGGCAGTTGACAGTACCGCAAAGTTCGCAACCACAGCGTCCCGCTGAATTTCCTGTTGCAGATTCTGTACAACTACGCAGGCCATTTGTGGTAGGGCATCAGTGTGCAATGTCCGTCCGGTGCTGGCCGTCGTTACGGGTGCGCCGCGGAGAGGCTGGGCTAAAATGAGGGGGGGAGTTAGATTGGAGCGTGGCACGCTTTAAACAGTCTGCACATTCCTCAAAAAGTGTCACACATGCGGGGGCGTGGTGGCACGCCTAGGCGCGGACCCCACGCCACCCCAGTCATTAGGCCCAATCAGAGTAACAGATGGCTGACCTGCTCGGACAGCTGATTGGTGCAAGAGAGAGGAAAGAGAGAGAGAGAGTGAAGTCAACTCTGGGGAGTCCATCCCCATGGCACTTCAGAGCATACCCCACCAATAATAGATATAATATGGCTGACCGGCTGGACGACTGATTGGTGCATGGGAGAGGAAAGAGAAAGTGAAGTCAACTCTGGGGAATCTATCCCCATGACACTTCAGAGCATCCCCCGCCAATAATAAATATGACGCGCTTTGGAATTACACTGACGTGCTAAAAGTCTTGGCGCCGAAGGCTGCCAACAGACAGGCTAACTTGCTCCTCTTCTCAAAGGCGAAGGGCCAGGCTGCAGTGGCTCCTTCTTAATGTGGCCTCTATGGCAAATCCAACCGAGGCGGGATCCGAGCGACCCTTCCTCTTGTAAAAGCCCAACACACTGTGCTGGAACTAGGGCTGTTTAACTTTGTTTGCCACTGCGTCCAATCCCTCCTCAGGTGATTTTGACTCAGTCTTGAGACCGGACTCAGGTGGGTGGGGGAGTAGAAAGTCGACAGTCAGTATAAAAAAATTCAGGCGCGAGTCTCCGCTCCCTCTGCACCCACCCTGATATGAGGCATACGGCTGACGCTGCCGTTCGCGGCGGTCAAACAGTGCGTTATCCTTGTTGAGATTGGTTGGAGGTGGGACTGGCTAATTAAAGTGTGAGGCTGACCCAAGTGGCCTCTGTCCCAGTCTCCCATTTCCTCCTGTGCCAAGCCCCTATCTTCCAACCCTTACTAGTAGACTAGTCCACATGAAGTAGAAGGCACGATCGCTGGGACAAGAGCTTTATTCGCCTGACGTTTCGGATCCCTCCTCGAACCCATCATCAGAGACAATAGCAGATGCGGGCGGTTCATGCACAAGAAGCTGCAATATTTTTAGGATGCAGTCGCCATGTAACCGCATACCTATGAATATTCACGCCCCTCCCCCCCCGCCCCTCATTCAGCAGGGATTGTTGTACTTGGTGTGATGATTGTTCGATGGCCGACATTCGCGTCGTTAATTGCAGCAATTTCCCCACGTGTGTTGGATGTTTGTGTGATGATTGCTTGACCATCTCACCCACCGACCCTGGAGTACGGGACAGTGTTCACCTGTGCGCCCCCTGCTTCACTAATTACTCCGCCTAGGCGAAGTCTCAGTACCGAGGATGGAAGGGGAATATCGTAGCACTTGTTAATAGACTGAGTGGCCAGTGAACCATGACTCAAGCAGCTCGCGGCTTACGCTTTTGTCACTTCTAGCGAGAATTTCCGCCTCGTCGAATTCGAGTGTGTGGGCGGATCTTGTCGAATGAGGCGCAACTTAAGGGCTGGCGTCATTTCCCCGCGCGGCTGCAGCGTGTTCGGCTATTCGCGTTTTGAGCTGTCTTCCGGTTTCGCCGATGTAGTTGCTTTTTCCGCAACTGCACCATATCCGATAAATGACTTTAGACGTTTCTTGTCGGGGCATTGGGTTTTTCGATTTCATTGCCTGACGCCTGATTGTTGGCTCCGGTGTGTGTGCAACTCCAATCCCAAGTGGTTCGAACGGGTGTCTGACAGTTTCCGGAACGTCCTTGACATACGGAATCGCTTGCCAAGATTTGGGGTGAGTGCGGTTTGGCCTATCGCCCCTTTTGCGTATGCACCGGTTAACAAAGTTGCGCGGGTATCAAATGGCTTTGAAGACTCGTCGAAGGTATTGTAGTTCGGCAATCTTGTCTTCCGGCTCACTGCAGTGCGTTTTGACACGCCGATAGAGCATCCTTACACAACTTCGTTTGTGGTTGATTGGTTGGTTGCTGTTGAAGTTCATTACTTGCATCTTATTTGTCGCTTTTCTGCATACTTTGGTCTTTAGTCCACCACAATCTTTGCGGCATATGACGACATTCAAGAAGGCCAGCTGGTTGTTCTCTTCCTCCGCCATCGTAAATTGTACGTCCGAGAAGACCGCATTCAGATGTTCCTCGAATGTCAGCCGTTGATCCCTGTCGATAACGACGAAGGCATCATCCACATACCTGGCCCGGAACTTCGGTAACTAGTCCAAAACTGTCACAGCAAAAACAGGTTTACGAATTCACAGATTAATTTTAACTCGCAGTATTCATGCGACTTTAAAAGTATCACAAATTGTGAGATTTATTTACCGTGCTGAGTACTCATTGGTGTATTTACAGTTTGTATTTAAGAGTAGGAAAATCTTTTATCTTTTAGCACGATACGGAAGTAGCACCAGCGAAGACACAGAAAGTCAACAACGACAGAAGTATGTTGATGCCTATTCATTATCAGACCAGTAAGGTACGCGGTGGCGCGGGAGTCGAAAAACATCCAATAAACAACAGCGATAAGGGGGAGAGGAGGCTTGGGGCTGTTTGAACCTGTTAGAATAAACGAGGAGAATGAGATTTCAGTGGCCATTTCTGACCTACTGGTAGTCGTCAGTCAGTCTGGGATTCGAATCCGGACGCTTTGTGCATTGGGCGTTAAGTTCAACAGACTAGCATTGGGCCACGGACCCATTGTAGCGTTGGTTACGATCTAGAAAAGTATGTATCGTGAGAGCGTCGCTCACCGAAAGGCCTACGGGACAGGCTCGTTCCGTTGTGCCTTGGAGCTCAGTCTGGAGCCCACACGCTAATGGGACCTCGGCTGAACTCTCAAAATTTGTGGTCAAACAGAACAGTCGTCTACTAATAAGGGACTGTAGTATGGATTAGTCTGGAACACAACCTCCAGTTCAATCATACTAGAGATATGGCTGGCTCTTGCGTGAAAAGCATTACTCACGTATGGCAAACACAAACGGGTAAAATTATCGTTTACTTTTTAAACCGATTTTCCCGTTACATTCGATGCCATAAAAATCCCGTCATATCTTCTGATGATGTCTTAAAAGATATTTGCCGTTTATGTTAAGTCTTGCGTACATTTACGTCTCCGTAAAAGGCTAAGTTTGAAGGAATGGGATATTCTGACAGAAAACTAATTCATAAACTCATATATACTCTGAAATGCAGGCTGTCCTCTCACTTAACTTCCAAATCACCTCCCATCCGTTTGTTCTGATCATGTTGAACCGCATTGGGATCAGGTTGCCAACGTCGTAAACACCTCGAATCAACCCACGACCATTAGACTGAAGATTCAGTCAGGCAAAAGACTCAATAGGTCTCTTGAAACCGACGTCTTATACCACAACGGCCCGCCTTCCTCCAACTGCTCGATTTCCTTCAAAAAGAACATATGAGATAATGTTTATGTGCCTTTTTGTCTGGGGAAAATGGTCGAAGTGGAAAAAGAGTGGAAAGTGAGGGAATAAATGCGCTACTTAAACAGTTATTTCTCCCAACTCCACTTAACACCGGTACTTGGGAAGACTGTCAACGGAAACAGCATTCTACGCCGGTAAATATTGATACTCAGCAGCCCTTAAGAACAAATTTGCGTATTTTGCGAAGATCTGCATACTGTCCTTTCTGTGTTTATTCGCATTAGTCTAGTGGCGCCAATCACTGATTACGCGATACTGAGGCAGCTCGAATACCCTTTCGTCTGTCACGGAGCCACACTGTTGGAATAACTTTTTGGCGTAAATTTATGTAATTTCAAGATGAAAAAACGCTCCCACCCTCTCTCTCTCTTTTTCGAAGTCCTACCTTCTATTTTAAGCCAGATTTGATGATTTCAGCTGCAGTTTCACAACGTTGGGCGCCGACTGCACTTCTGCACCAAAGAAAGGCAAGTATGTAACCGAGGGGCGAAGAGGGTACGACGTCCACTTTTCAGTCTATATAAATGGCCCTTTCATCCATCCATGAGAGAAAGTGCTGGTGACCCGCATATCGGTCCTGATAGAACATTTTCCGACTGTCATTCTGCCTGCGGTGAGTTCCGAGCCGCACAAAGATTGTTTCTGCGATATCCTGGCCCATCGTGCGCGAACCAGTTCGTGTGTGGCACGCGTAGACGGATTGCTTAGCCTTGTCAGCCACTACGTCCGATCCCACCTCCGGCCTTTTTGACCCCGGGCTCGAGGGAAGCAGATGGTGAGCCTACGTGTTCCATAAATTGTTAATCTCTTCACTCAGGACGGGAGGGGGGGGGGGAGGAAGAGTGAAGTCAAGCAGACTGATGGAAATTCCGGAGCTGCTTCAAACAAAGTCTAGGGAAATTAATTTTATTTATAAAGGGTTGCGAAACATCCCATTGAAAAATTCAAAAGACAATTTGGTGAGCATACAGTAGGTGGGCCAACTTATGAAATGCCAACCGAAATTTCGAAATGCGTTCTCGTTTCGAAAAGATGAATTAAGTAGGGTTGTAACACTAATCAATCTGCAACATAATTCTATGATAATTCAGTTACCTCAGGATGCGGGCATTCGGGTAAACTTTCCGGCTGAATGCAAAAACTATACTCTGCAAAAAATGACTACTTACGTAGCATGCAATTTTCCCATTGATTTTCGATGCCCTTAAAAATTAACTTATGTTTCATGGAAAACATGCATAAAAATATTCACTCTTTACTCATTCGGTTGAAAATTGCGTCTTCTTCCAGTTTTATACTCGAATGATGTGTATAATTCGGTTTCCAAAAGGTTCTAATTGTGTGACTTTTTAATACCGTGAAATGGCCGTTCATAAAACGTCATGTATCTGCATTTACGAATGTGGCTTGTAAAGTTAACAATATTGCTCAAATCCACTGCTTAATTTTATGAACCCCATATGGTCTCCTCTCAGTACCGTAGAGAAATGCATAGTTTTCCGTACACGGAAAATATACGGCCTGTAGTTTTGAAACCCTGAATTCAAGTGTAACAGCAGGTCGGGTTCGAGATTATTCGGTAATAGGAAAAGTTTTGGAAAACCGAGTTATGCCCTTCTTTCGAGTATCAAATTGGAAGAAGACGTAATTTTCTACCGAATGAGTAAGAGAGTGAATGTTTTATGCATGTTTTCTATGAAATATAATTGGACTTTTAAAGGAATCGAAAATCAATGAGAAAATTGCATGGTAATTAAGTAGTCAGTTTTTGCAGAGTAAACTTCTTGCATGCAGTCGGAAATAAGTTCATTCGAAAGCCGACACCCTGAGGTAACTGGATCATTGTAGAATTATACTGCATGATGATTAGTTTTACAACCCTACTTAAGTAATCTTTTCGAAATGAGAACGCATTTCGGAATTTCGGTTGACATTTCCTGAGTTAGCCCACCTACTGTACGTCTGCTTTCGATAAATTCTTATCAGGCCTGTACATTTATATGGCTATTGAAGAAATGAATTAGAAAGTACGGGCAAGTAGATAATTATGCTGTAGCTCGCGTTTAGGGAGGAGCGGGGGAGAGTTAAACACCACAATTCCAGTTAATGCCAGGAAGAAGGTGGGTACGGGGAAGGTATATGGGGCAGAATATATTGGTCGCACGAGCCAGCGTTTATCCAAAAGAATAAAAGAACATCTCCCAGCATGGTTAGGAATGGGTCAAATAAAGAACATCAACAGCTCGATCCTCGATCACATGGTGGACACATACCACCTTGTAGACGCCAGAGAGGCCTTCAGAGTGATTTCCAAGGTCACATCAAGCTATCTAAAATCACTTGGGCAGCGCTTGTTGGCTACGGCAGAGGCAGTTGCAATCAGGCTACGCAGGCCGGTCCTATGCGCACAGAAGAACAGCACAGAGGTCTCACAGTTGCCGTGGCTCAAAGCTACCAAGCCCGCCATCCGCATATAATTACCTTCCCTGGGACCCACCTTCTCCCTGGCATTGACTGGAATTGTGCTGTTTCACTCTCACCCTCCCCTCCCCTCCCTAAACCCGAGCTACAGCACATTTATCTACTTGCCCGTATCTTCGTATTCATTACTTCAATAACCATATAAATGTACAGGCATGAAGATAATTTATAAAGACTAAGAAAAAGTCATAGCATACAAAACTCGGTATGCACATGGTTAGAAAACCGTATACCATCTTTTCCTGAAATTTGGAATATGTTTCAGACCGATATGAAGTTGGGGGAGGGGGGGGGGGATGGAGGCTGTTTTACTTGACACACCGTAGGCCAAGCGTCGTACCAAACCATGCTGTCGACAAGTTTCTCTGGTCTCTTTACCAACCCAGTAGAAGGTCCTTAGCCGAAGTGCTTTTAAGATAACCATGTAGGTGATGTTTCGGGACGCTACCTAAAGGAAGGTGACCCTTACAGAAGCAGATCATCGAAGGGCAAATATTGATTTCTTTCGGCTCCAAAGAACGGCACGAGGCAAACAGTAGAGAACTAACCGACAAGACTCCACCTTCTGGGACGTTCGTACTTGACGTACCCAGTAGATTAGGAGAAAGTCAGTGAATACTTCCATATGATGTTTTTGACCGCAAACATGCAGAGTAACTTTATGCGGAGGGCAGAATGCCTGCAGTTTGTTCGGATACGTAATAAATTTCCAAATGTCACTTCTTCTGAATGATTCCACAAAAATGGAGGTTCTGGGATTGTCAAGTCCTCAATTTTTAGTCTTTAAATTGAGGCATTCCACCCAAAACACGAGAAAAGTAACCGTGTGAGTATATTTATGATCGCACTGCGGTTAATTCAACTTCAGGGAAAAGACAATAGAGTTTTGTTGTGTTTTATTTTTTTAATAATGCCTTTGTACAATGCATAGGTGTCAGGCACGCTGGAGAAACCTTTCGAAAATAAAAGGCTATTTGGAAGGCTATACATGGAATTCTTGATCTAACCTAAGACAATTAAATGTGTGTACCGGAGACGTTCTGTTGGATTTCGAAAACTCTGTAACCACAGGGAACACGACTGCGCAGTGCTTAGCGATGAAATCTCAATTGTACCCAGGTCCGGAGGAGGAGGAGGAGGAGGAGGAGGAGGAGGAGGAGGAGGAGGAG